CTGCCCCTATTAACATATTAACTGAAAAACCCCGTTTACTTTGCATTTGAACTATTTTTTGTGGAATAGAAGCAAATATGCGCGCCCCAGGTTCTTATTGTAAAGAAGAAAAGGACGCGATCACTGGGACGGCAATTGTATTATTCCGAGCTTTCGGTTTCACACAAGAGGTAATCGTCAGAGAAGTGAGAAAACTGCAAGCGGTGGCATGTTTTTGTAGCCTGGCTACGAGTTAGTGGGGGTGGGGGAGGGGGTGGCAGAGGCGAGACGAGGAGACGGTGTGAGCACGGACCAATCCTGAGTGCCACCTTCTGCACCCCCCATTAACTCGTAGCCAGACTACAAGAACATGCCACCGTTTGTTGTTTTCTCACTGCTCTGACGATGGCCTCTTGCGTGAAACCGAAAGTTCAGAAAAATACAACTGTCGTCCCTGTGACCTCGTCTTTTGCTTCTTTATTTTTTTTGTATTTCTGCTTAAGATTAGACCCGGGGCTAAAGTTGGCACAGGAAAATAGGTACTCCTTGCAATTTAGCTCAAGGCCACCTCCACTACTGGGGATCCACAGTTCCATGTCCGACTTTGCTTTATTCTAGGATCCATCCTATGATCGTAAATGCACAACAAGGTGACCATGTCAATTTTAAAGTAGTTCTTGAACAGCTGGTGTGGAGTCCCTTCCGTTTCAAACTTAAGAAAGTTCGAAAGCTCCAATAATCGTCTGAGGGCGGTCCCTTTCCCGCCTACTTTCGGAATCTTTGTGTATGCTGCGAAACGACGGTTGCGATAAAACAAAAGGCTATTGATTGGTGTTATTAGTGCTTTGGCATACAGTTGCACAGATTTTCAATCCGAAGTTTTTAAGGCAGAAGTAAGTGCTATTTTAAAATAACATGGTTCTTCACTTCTATCAACTGATTTACGTGAACGGAACGGTCATGTTTCAAGTGGACGGAGGTTTTCTGTAGGCTTTTCGTACTTGCATTAATGTCCTGCGTTGTAGGAGCACGCGCAAATACGCACATGTGGTCTTCGGTCATTACCAGCATAGAAAAGTGCCTGGACATAACGAAGGCTTGATTTCGATTCCAAAAATATACACTTTTTTGTTAACGGTATGACCTAAAAAGTATTCCATGCAAGAAAAAAAGGCTTGTTTATATACCAGCGTAAACCAATCTGTAAAATGCATCACCCCCGAAATTGACCATCTGAATACCGGTAGTCTTATTTTTACCGTTTGATAACTTAGTGTACTTCGTTCAGTTATCCCTATTCGGATGAGCATGTCTCACTTACAAAGCAGGGTTGTCTTTATTTCTGGTCGGTTAGGTACTGGATTGCCTGAGAGGTTAGGAAAATGCAAGGCTGTCAAAGTGAGTGATCGCCTTGGTGGTGGGGGCCAAAAGCCTGCAACGGGAATTGGTTCTGTTTATTTTTTGCGACTCCGCGCTTTCCGCCATCTTTCGGGTTTACCCTAGCGATCGCGGTAAGTTATCATAGTGTGACTGTTGAAGAGAACCTAGGCTAGTCACGACTGATGAGCTTCGGACACGGATGGATGAACCCCGTCTACTGCATGTAGCCTCATGCTAGATTTCCGCATCCTAACTAACCCTCATGACCCTGACCTTCCCCTGAATTTAACGCAAAACCAGCTGCAATGCTGACAGTACTAAGACAGGTGCTTAATAAAACCGATATTATTGTTACTAACACGCGTGGTCCATATCCCCGTGTCCTACCCAGATAAGGAATAAATGTCCTCAATTTCGATTGAATTCGATCACTTCCGGCGGGGTTAGGGTGTTGATGATGGTGGGGGTTCACAACCTTTCAATTGT